TCATTCTTTGGCATGTACCTGTCCAGCGTTGCCAACACCATTTGTTTAAGAGACCATATTCACCCCACTGTATATTCTTGCCTCCATGTCATAGGTTAGTTGACATACAGGTGTGGGTTTGCTCTGGGCTTTAATTCAGTGACACCCTCAGGGACTCCAGGCCGGGTCACAGGATGTTGGTTTCCTGTGCAGAAGCCCAAACTCTGGGGATTTTTGAATTCTTAGGGCTATTTTTAATGATTCTTCTGCCTTATAAACTTGCAGTTCTTTCTTAATCACATTCAGAGCAGCCGCCTTCAGTGGCTGCCTCCTCTTCTGCTATGGGCCAGGACACTCGATAACCCGTTCACTGGAACTGGGGTAGAATAAAAGTTAATAGGCTGAGAGTGCGGGTCCAGATGTGTCTCACACTCTGAGTCATCTGCGTCTCTCCAGGTGAAACACACAGTGGTGCTGCTAGCTGTTCGGGAGCACGGACTTGGCCAGGTGCCCCGAGTGCGGTGCTGCAGACTTGCAGATGGGTGTTGCGCTCAGGCACAGGGCTGTCAGGGGCGCTGCTCTGAACGCACAGCCAGCGCCCTCTTCCCTGTGCACAGGCTGCTGTTCCTGAAGCTGACAGCTCAGAACCCGAGAGAGAGGTTCGCCTTCTGCTCTGTGAAGGGCTGCGAGAGAATCAGGATCAAAGCTCTGATCCCCAAGGATGCGGGCGTCAGCGACTGCTCGGCCACGGCCTACCCCCGCTTCGCGGAGAGGGCCACCGTGGACGTGCCGATGCCCAGGAAGCTGGTCGGTGCTCAGCTGGTGAGCGGCCGTCCCGGTTCCTCTCGGGACACCTGCTCAGCACAGCGTACTTCCGGGGCGGGGGCGGGGGCCGGGGGAGACGACCAGGTGTCTGGTCACCTCCTCAGACCTAACGGCCGCGCCGGATGTGTTTGTTTTCCAGAAGACACAGGACCACTTCTTGGAGGTGAAGATGGAGAGTTTTGGGCAGCGGTTCTTCCACCTGCTGAGCGACTTTGCGTACATCGAGGTAAGGGATCTCAGCCCCTGCGCAGACTGGCTGTGCTCTCAGGGCCGTCGTCACAAATGGCCGCAAGCCGGGTGGCTTAAAACAACGGAAGTGTACCCCCTCGCAGTCTGGAGGCCAGGAGTCCAAAATCGAGGTGTCGGCAGGGTCGGTTCCCTCTGGAGGCTGAGAGAGAGAAGCTGTTTGGGCTTCTTCTAGCTTCCGGGGCTGCTGGCAACCCTTGACCTCCCTTGACTTGTAGACACGTCCCTCCAGCCTCTGTCTCTGACTTCACGCAGACCCTCCCCTGGCTGGCTGAGTCTTGCATCTCCCCTGCCTCTTCTGAGGACACCAGTCACTGGGTTAGGACCCACCCTAAATCCAAGGTGGCCTCATCTCGAGACCCTTGACTTGATTACATCTTCAAAGATCCTATGTCCAAATACGGCCCCTTCCATAGGTTCCAGGGGGCCATATCTTTTTGGGGAGAGGGCACTATGTGGCTCACTGCAGAGGCCTCCGAGGACCTGTCTTAAGTGGGCTGCAGAGGCACCTCTGTGTTCAGGGTCTGCGTGGGGACAGTAGACGGGAGACCGCGGGCCCCACTGCCTTCAGGCCCCTCACCCTGTGTGGCCCTGGTCCCCAGGTAGACGGGAAGAAGTACCCCAGCCTGGAGGACGGCATCCAGGTGCTGGTGATTGACGGGAGCCGAGGGCACGTGCTGAGCCACACGGGCTTCAGGAACTCCGTCCTGCAGGGCGTCCCATGGCAGGTCTTCAGTTACGTGGCGGACATCCCTGACAAGTGAGTCCATGCCTCTGCGTCGGCACTGCTGGGGACACCACAGGCCCCGGCCTGGCCCCGGCCCAGGGGCCTTCATCATAGTCTGGCCTGTGAAAACTTAGTATGCAGCCGGCCCCTGGGTTGTGGGTGCTGGGCCGGGAACGGCCCTGCCTGGTGACTGTCCCGTTGGAGCCAGGGCCTTGTGAATGTAGGTCAGGTCCAGGCAGACGGCTACCCAGTTAAAATGAGAAGCCTGCCCTGACCCGTGTCCCAGGCCTGGACACTCCCTCTGGTGACCTCATCCCCTCCCATACTTCTAATGCGATCCAAATGCAGCTGGCCTCCGAGCTCTTCCAGCCCAGACCTCCACTGAACCAGACATTCCTGCCCAAGTGCTAGTTGGAGGGCGCCACCCAGAGGCCCCCTGCGGAACTGAGTTCTCAGCTTTTGTTTCTTACTCCCCAGACCAGCCGCTCTCCGCTCTCCGGGGCGGTCTAAGTGGGTGGCCGGCCACCGGCCCTTCAGGCAGCTAGATCAGGGCCCGGGTGTCATGTCTGACTCTCCTCTCTGTCACGGCGCCACGCTCTGGGACCGCGTCCTGTCACTCCACGGGCACTGTCGCTCTGCCTCCAGTTCCTCCACGTGTCCTCTCCGTCCGGGCCTTCCCACCCTGTCCACGGGGGAAGGTGGAGGCAGCTGCTCACACCACAAACGTCAAGGATGGTTTCTAGGAGCCGCCCTGCTCCCCACCTGTGGCAGACTCCGTGCTGGCAGGTGCAGGGGCTTAGAGGACCCCACCCCAGGCAGAGAGGGTTACCCAAAGTGTGCAGGCAGGCTTCCGGGGCCCGCTGTGGGGGCTGGGACAGATGAGAAGTGCTGTCTCCGTGTCCTGCTCCCATGAGCTAACCCCGATCCCCATCCAGAGGGCACGACCTTCACGTGCGTCCACCCAGTAGCAGGGCTTTGCTGGGCCGAAGGGACTTTGGCTCTCCTCTGAACGGAACGATGGGGACAGTCTCCTGGGGCAGAGCCTGCATCTGCAGCTGAGGGGGTGTGTGGGCAGCCCCTGGCCCCCCGGCTCTCCTCCCCAGACTCCAGCCTCTCCTCGCGGCCGTTCTGACTGCGCACAGCCTCCCATCTCAGGAGCGTGTCTTCCGCTCCCAACGGGACACTGCGCAGGCAGCAGCAGGTTCCAGGATCCGACGCAGACTTTCCAGTCTGGCCTGCGGTCTGTGCTCACGAGGTCCCTTTGAGATGTGAACGGGACGCTCCACTGGGCTTCTGCCCTGTTTCTATTCCTGGGGGGTGTTCACTTCCTCTCGTCTGGCCAGCACGAGTCCGCGTCTGCCACCACGGGGCCGATTTCACAGCACTGTGGCTGAGCACTGCCAGGGCAGGCGAGGGGGACATCTTGCTCCCAAGCAGGGCTTTTGCAGGTTGGGACCTGCAGGCTGCCCTGCCAAGCACACCTCCCTCTGGCAGGCCCTGTCAGATACGTAATAGCTATTTGCCTCAGTTTCCCCACTTGTAAAACGGAGCGGTGATGTGGCCTTAACCTGACCAGAGAGGGAAGCGGCTGGCACGTGGGGTGTTAACCCTCCCTCAGGACGTGGCCGTCACCGCGTTTCCGCTCGGCCTGTGCAGACAGCGCGGAGAGCTCTCCAGTTAGGAAGTGCGCGGCGAGGTCCTCGCGTGCCCGCCTGCCCGGATGGCACACGCTTGGACCCACTCTGCCCTCTCTGGGGACAGACCCGTAAAAGCACTGAGGCGAGCGGGCGCCACGTGTGGGAGAGGTGTCGGACAGCGTGTGGGCAGAGCCAGCGGCGCCGCACGGAGAGGTTGCCCCCTCCTGCACCCGTGGCCGGGCCTCTGGTCCCACCGTGCAGGCCGCCCCTGCCCACCAGCCCTCGGTCCAGGTCACTGTCTCGCCCTCTAAGCACGCCCCTCTCGCTCAGTTCCATAGTTCTCATGGCATCGAGGGGAAGGTATGTCTCCAGAGGCCCATGGACTCACGTGCTGGAAAAGCTCGGGGCGGACGAGGGGCTCAGGCTGAAAGGTAAGGGGTTCGGACTGGGGTGGACACGAGTCTAGGTGCTGCCGAGACCAGAACGCTTGCCACCAAACGTGGCTATGGCCTCTGAAGCCGCACAGTGCCAGTGTCCAGGGCGGTCAGGGCAGGGTGCCGCCTGGGGCTGCTGCAGCCCCAGGCTTTCCTCTCACGTATGCCAGACACCGAAGGAACTTGCTAGTTGTTCACCCATCTTGTCAGTAGGTGGCCCTTTCTTCTGCTAAAAGATCAGCAGAAAAGTGGCTTGGCTCGACTTCCCTCCAGTTCTGGCCGCTTGGCCTGGCCGGGGCCCTACCTCTTCCTCACACCCTGGCCGACGTCCAGTGTTTATCCAGCCCGTTGCTGTTCGCAAGCTCACATTTGTTCCTCAGAGGCCATTAGGGAGAGCCCAGAGGTCCGCGTGGCTTGTCCAGGGTCACCCAGCTCCTCCGTAGTGAAGCCCAGCACGGACCCCCAGGGAGGAGGCTGGCTGGAACCAGTGCCTCTGCGTGGCACTCGTCATGCCGTCACAGACTGTGCTCAGAGTCCCCGGGAGGCAGAGAGGAGGGACGGGGCCACTGTACAGATGACAGTGAGAGCGTCCACTGTGGCTGCCACATCACGTTCCGCCTGCACGTTGCTGAACCACTTCACAGCGACCTGGAAGTAGTCACGAGGAAGTAGAATCTGACCGTTAAGTAACTTCGGATTAGAGCTTGCATCCTAATTTTTTTAATCCAAAGGCAGGGTTCTTAGCTGCCATGCCATCCCACATACCAAAAACATCAGAGCTACAGCCCAAAGGGTCTTCAGAAAGGGGCAGGGATTTGTTGGGGGGAGTGGGTCATGGGGTCAGCTCAGAGGTGGCTGAGGCTCCTGGGAGTCCGCTGGGTAAAGCTGAGCCGCCACCCCTGCAGGTGGCTGTGAGGTTCAGCTGAGACCCTCCGTGTCCCATACAAACAATCGTCAGGTACCGTCAGTAGTTGGCACAGAGCACTTCCTGGGGACACAGTCCAGTGCAGCCTGAGAGGGGACGGGAATGGTGATGGGGAGTCTTGGGAGGCGGTGGCATGGAGCCATTTTCTCTGGGGTTTCTGCTCAAGTGACTGATCCCTGCTTTTCAGAAAAAATGGCATTCGTTGGCTTCAAAGGCAGCTTCCGGCCCACCTGGGTGAATCTGAACACCGACGACCACAAGGCTAAAATCTTCCAAGTTGTGCCTATTCCCGTGGTGAGGAAGAGGAAGTTGTGAGGACAGCCGTCATCCCAGTGCCGCCCACATGGACTATGATGGCAGACTCTTGGCATCAGACCAGGGTAGGGTGGCCGGTTCCCCCAGCCTGTCCGGCCGCTGCCTGGGAAGGCCGTGGTCTACATGGGCCCAGGGAAGGGAAGGGAAGGACATCGAGGCCCCTGGTGCCTCCACCTGCCCCACTCAAGTGTCTGCCTGCAGCCCTGGGAGGCGTTGGCCGATGCTGGAGACCTCATCTTCCCTGCGGCCTCTGGGTGCTTCTCTCCCAGTGGTGCCTCTTTGGGGGGGCGGGGGTGTCGGGACCATGCCAGGAGACCTGGGCTGTGCTGGCGGGGTGTGGACTGGGGTGCCGCGTCACTCACAGCCCCCAGCACATACATTAGGGGGCAGACGTGGCCCTAAGGATGTCTCTGTTCCTGTGACCGAGACCAGGGCGGGCGTGTAGCAGAGCGGGTGGGAGTGGTATCGGTTACCCTTGGGGAAGGAGCGTGCCCCACCTTGTCCCAGGTTGAGATCTGACTGGGTGACTTTCAAAGGCCCTTTCAGCTCAGAGATTCCAGAAGAGTCTGTGGCTTCTCACGCTGTGTCAGGAACCCAGCAGTAGGCACACCTGTGATGCTGGGCCCTGGGACCTACAGGGTAGCAGTGGCGGTGCCCAGCTGAAGGGCTTGCAGTCTGGTAGGACAGGTAGTCAGGTGCCTGTGCCTTCTGACGCCAGGCAGCGCAGAGAGCTGTACAGTGGGGGCCAGTGCCAGTCCAGAGGAGGGCACGGTCTTCTTACCTGCTTGGGCGACTTCCCGTAGCGGGAGGCAGCAGGGCCTGCGGGCGGCCTCCACTTGGTTCGAACCACCCGTCGGCCCGCGCACGGGCGTGCACCGCTGCAGTAATTCCATTGGTGCTATCCCGGTTTGGCGGCTGTGCAGGTGCAGCCAGCACACAGCATCGGGCGCCGGACCCTTCTCGGCGAACCACCTTAGCTGCTCGCGGGGCTCGAAGAGCTGCTGGTCCGCCTCAGGCCCCCGCAGCTGCCGCTTAGTGCCCTGCTCTCTCCCTGGCCCTCGGGAGAGGCGAGGAGAGCTCCTGCAAGAGGGGAACACCTGGGTTCTTCTCTCTCGTGCGGCACCAGGGTCACTCCGGTCTCGTGAGGAGCTGCGTCTGCCCCTTTCCTGCCCCATCCACAGTCTCTCCTCCAAGGAGAGCTTTCTCGGCTCCCTCTGCCCACCTGCACCCACGAGACTCCATTATCCCTGTTGAGCCAACTGCCAGAGAGGTTTTCCCACCAAACAGGTCTTTCTGCCGCTAGGCGACAGCAGGGCTCCATCTCTTAAAACATGGCAGCCCCAAAGGCCTGACCCCAGCAGGGACCTCGTCCGGGCAGAGTGGCGGCGGTAGGGAGCTGAGTTAAAATGACCTCATGTTCCACTTGTCTAGAGTTCTGTTGAGTTTTTCAAGCTCTTCTCATGCAAGGGTCTCACACTGTGAACCACTTGGGATGTGATCACTTCAGGTGGCCAGGAATGTTGACTGTCTTTGGCTCGGTTCGTTTCAAAAAGCATCTATTGGAGGATCCTCAGAGCTGCACCTACGTCTTACGTAGGACCTTCTTTCCGAAGCCCTTCACCAAGAGCTGATGTTCAGGCACGTTCTTGGCAGCACAAATTTTCTTACTGCTCAGAAAATTGTCCTCGTTCTTTCTGTGTGTGAGCGTCAAAATGAGCTAGGCTTTTAAGGAAAACAACATGCCCCTGAAATGCTTGTCTTTTTCCTGTTGCCGAAACAGCTGGTCCTCTTTCGGGAATTAGATGTATAGTGTGTTTTGTATGTAAACATTTCTTGTAGGCGTCACCATGAACAAAGATATATTTTTTATTTATTTATTATATATGCACTTGGAGAAGTCTTGTCTGAGAAACGAAGAATTGTCTTGAATGTCATCTTTGGGGATGTCCTGCGGCCGCCTTGCACCAGAGGGCCTGGCTCTGGTGTGGAAAATCTCGCTGTGCCATAGTAAACACGCAAAGGGTGTCATTCCCCTGGCTGCTTCTCTGTCTTCCTTTAAAGTGGGTCTCATTTTAAGCCTGAGAGCTAAGGAAAATAAGATTGATGAAATGCCCTATGGGTCTGCCTCTTTCACTCCCAAGTCCTTCCTTGTCCTGCCCCAAGGGGGCGCCCATAAGAGGAGGTGGAGAGGTCCTGTGGGAGAAGGTGACAGGCAGGTGACTGCTGTAAACACAGCTTGGTACATACGAAGCACGTGGTAACCACAAAGCAGACATCTCTGAGAGCTGTGCGAGAAGTAAAGGGAAAGGGACCCAAACGCAGACGCAGAACGTCAGCAGACGAGAGGAGAGCGAGAGAGTAAGAAGGAACAGAAGCACAAAAGCTCAGAGAACAGCGAAATGGCAGTAACTGCAGACCCATCAGTAATTCCTTTAAATGCTCCAGTCAGTGTACACAGACTGAAAGTAAACGGATGCAAAAAGGTGTTTCACGTAAACGGAAAAGGATAAAAAGCCGGGGTAGCAATACTTATATCAGACAAAACAGACTCTAAAACAAAGGCCATAACAAGAGACAAGGGCATTCCACAGTGATAAAGGGATCAGTCCAGCAAAAGGACGTAAGCCTTGTAAACACCGACACACGTAACGTAGGAGCACCTGCATATATAACGCAAATGCCGATGGACGTAACGGGCACCAAGGGAACGAGCAGCAGTTATGCACTGATAGTAGGGACCTTAATGCCTCACTGACATCAAGGGACAGGTCGTCCAGACAGAGAGAGGAAAGAGAATTACAAGCCACTGTCCCTGGCAAAAATCGTCAACAAAATATTAGGAAACCGAATTCAGCAACATATTGAAAAAGATCATTCACTATGAGCAGGCGGGATTTTTTTCCTGGGATGGAAGTTTGGTTCCACATTTGCAAATCAATTTATGTGATACATTACAGAAACAAAACGGATAAAAACCATAGGATCGTATCAATAGAAGCAGAAAAAGCATTGGACAAAATCCAGCATCCATTCATGACAGAAACTTTCCGCAAAGTGGGGACAGAGGGAGCACACATCGACACGACAGAGTCCATATACGACAAACCCACAACTAACATCCACCAGAAAATCCCTGGTCTCGGCAGACAGCACGGTCAGCCTGCCGTCTCCGCGGCGCAGCCTGGACGGGGCAGCCGTGCCCCTGGCCTTCGCCCTCTCCGGATGAAGCTGCCTGACCGCGCGTGCAGACCCTCAGCTGTGCAGGTATCTGAGGCTGCAGCGCCAAGGAGGTGGGGACAGTGGATGTTCTTGCCTGCAAGGAAGCCAGGTCAGGATGTCACTCTGCCTCTTCCCAGCTGTGACCTTGTGAAGGATTTAACCCTTATGAGCCCTGGTGGTTCATCTAAAACAGCAAACAAAACCCCGCGATAAGTTAACAAGTGTAGAGTGCTGTGTTCGGCGCTTCACGTGGATTCACCATGTAATGCTTACAACCTCTCTGAGGTGGGCGCTCTTATTAGTGCCCCTGGCTCAGGGGCTGCTTAAATCACGTGCCCAGGACATACAGCTCGTAACATCAGGGCTGGGCCGTCCCACTTCAGCACTGTGCCCTAACGGCCCTCACACCAACTAATGCCAACCTCGTGGGCTTACAGAGGGTGAATGAGGTAGCATAGCCCGCTCCATAGATTGTGAGCAACACTGAGCGTCCGTCCGCTAATGCAGTCTGTAAACAGGCGGGCAGGGCCTGCCTGCCCCGGTCACCTCCACCCCCACCTCACCTGCACAGTTCCAGGCATTTGCTGGTGTGCAGCACGTACTTGGCGAGCGAGTGTGCAGACACGTGGTTGTGCAGCGAGCCCGGAGGACAGGAGCAGCTACCTGAGTACAGGTCCTGGCCTTGTAACTTCCTAGTGATGTGACCCTGGGAAAAATGCTTACCTTCTTTGAGCCAGTTTCCCTGTAAGGTGGGGATGATGATATAGTAGCTCTGGCCTCGGGTTGCTGTGCTGATGAAGCCAATTAATACGTGTAGAACAGCACACGCAGATCAGAGTCAAAGAGAAATTCAGAGAAAGAGGTGTCTGCAGATCTTCACAAATACTTGGCAAGCACAGACCGAGTGTTCTTTTAATTAAAACGAGGGCTGAATTGTCCTCAAAGGACGGTGGGGGAGAAGTCAGAGCAGCATGTGGGGAGGCTGAGGCAGGGCCGGTCTCTGCTGCCCCCTAGAGGATACTCCCTTCGCTTTTAATTTGTTTCTCTGTACGGGGACATGGTGATGACAGCGTGGCCACACCCCTTCCCCACCTGAGCCACGGTTTTCCAGAACTTAAGGTGGAGAGAACGGACAGTTCTGCCTCCCTGGACGGGGGTCTTAGGAAGGAGCTCAGCACAAGCCCTGCCCCGATCTGGCTCACCTGTCCCCGGGAGCTGCCCACACCTCCTGGTCAGGGCCGGTGTGAGGCCTACTGGAGGTGGGCAAAAGAAAGTATGCGCCAGTTCTAAAGCTCCATGACATTAAGAATGGAATGGAATTTAAAAAAATAAAACATTCAGAGCTAAGAAAAAAATGAGTGCCGCAAACACGGACACAACACTAAAAATAAGTTAACGATAGAAGACACATTTTTCCAAAATGATGGAGGAAAAAAATGTGAATCTGCAATTAAAAATGACACATCATGTTCTAGGAGGATATTTAAAAAAAATTCCTAAAAAATCAACACTGTGACTTTCCCCAGCAAAATGACTGGGTGTTTGCAATGAGGAAGGATCCCGGGGCAAACTGATGGAAAAAGCAGGTAAAAGGCTGGCCTCAGGCCTCGCCCATGGAGCAGTGGTTATAGCATACATCCTGTCGGCGCACAGACGACACCATGAGCAAAAACTGGGGAGACGGGACGAAGTTCGTGGATTCCCTCACCTTGGCTGGTGGTCCATACACACTAAGTTGTCTTCACTAAAAAAGACAAAGAGGTTTACAGTGTAAAAACCACCAGCACTAAAATCGTCAGCATAAGCATCAAACACCAGAGGGCACGAGGGTGAAGCGAGGCGGAAGGACGTGTCTAAGGTCTCGTGTGTCACAGCTGATAGTCCAAAGATACTGTGGCAATGTGTGAGAGCAAGACATTGCAGCAAAATGCAAAATTAAAAATAAATTTGTGTGTCTATAACATGATGTTTCTCTCGTTCATGAATCTGAATCCGCAGACTGGACAGCTCCTCCCTGCTTCCCATGCCCCTGGGACGTCTTGAAGGCTGGGGCTGGAGGCCTTGGAAGGCTTGGTCGCCACTCACATGTCTGAGCCAGGGCTGGGGACCCGCACAGCTGGGGACCAAGCAGGTGGTGCTGCCGCCTGGTCATCTCTGTGTGGCTTCTCCGGTGTGCTGGCTTTGGGGTGCCAGTTAGGACATGGCTTCAGATCGATGAGATGGGCGAGTGATGTGCCCGTGCAGGCAAGGGGCCGAGATGTGTCGCGAAGGTCGTTAGTACTGCGTGCGCGCGATGCTGAATAGTTCCAGCAGTTGCACCGCCAGCAGTTTGCCCTTCAGATAGAAATGACTTTACCAAAATACCTTGTGACACGTTTAAATGTCCGTCACAGCATTGTGTGTACTGGCAAAAACCTGAAAACCCGAGTGTCCATCAGCAGGGACTGTGCAGGGCAGCTGTGGGTCGACCCTCACCAGCCTGCTCCCCCGGGCCACCTGCGCCCACAGCCTGAGCTACTGGAATCTCCCCCACCCCACCCCAGGCTCCGGGCTGCCAGTGCAAACCAGACTCTCGCACCCGCCCCACTGCAGCTTTCGATCCTTCAGGACACCCCAGATCCCTACACCACCCCATCCCTGTGCCTCTCACCTCTCCAGCCCAGTCGTCCTCGCGGGCCCTTTGCGAGGATCCTTCCTCTGCCTAGACCACTCGGCTCCCCATCTCGGGGACCCCCCCGACCATCCCCACCTCCCTCCCTCCTCCAGCCACCTCTGGCACTGCGCACGCCTCTCACATTTCTAACAGTTGCCATTTTCATCTGCGTGTGGCTAGTATTTGTCTTCCTCGCCAAGTTATTAAGTTTCACGATGGCAGGTGCCATATCTACACTGTCCCTGGCACTTAGCAGTGCCAAGCATGTCACTCAATGAATACTGACAGAGGTGGCTGCACACAAGACAGAGGTGACAGTCTGACACAGGAAGACTAAGTGGAAACAGCAATGGGGCAGCGAGCTGGCGATGCTCCTTCTGTGCGGTCAGGACAGTCGCTCTGCGCTGGGCCATCCAGCTGCAGATGGCAGAAACCCACCCAGCTGCCCCACCTCGAAGCAGGAAACACCTAGCAACAGGGCTTGCTCCAGACATGGCCGGATTCAGAGGCTCAGACGGCACCACCAGGACCTGCTGTCTCCCCGCGTCCCCTCGCTGTTGTCCTGGATCTTCTCTGGCAGCTCCTCTGATGGGCAAGGTGGCTGCAGCAGCCCCGGCCACACATCCGAGACCACCGCTGAGTGGGCTCGGGACACTCACCTGGGGTCATAAGCTCTTCGTCCTGGAGTGGGGTAGCCCAGAGGCTGGGGGACCACAGGGCAAACACCTGCCCAGAGCCCAGAGCTGAGAATGGAGGGACCCAAATCGGGACACAAAGACACTGTGAGGCCAAAACACACACAAGTCACTACAAGCTGGGTCAATGCACATTTTTTTGGAAACATTAACAGCAGCTTCCACTGGGACAAGTAGCGGCAGCAGCGGTTAGGCACAGAACTGCTACTTTATACCCTTTTTAAACAATGACATTTTCTAACCACGTACCTGTGCTATTTTGTTAAAGTCACAATGGAAGGTTTTAAAAATAATTGTAGTTCTTAAAAATGACAGCTGTGCATGAAGTCCACTGCCCTCGCTCAGAGCAGGCCTGACGTGAGCAGCCAGACGTCCGCAGCTAGCGCACCGTGGCAGGGCAGACACGACAGCACAGGTCTAGGTACTCTGTCAAAGAGCGTGTGGGACGGATGACGCCATCGAGCCTTCCGCCAGACTCTGCAGAGGACGCTGCCGAGCCCCGATCTACACCTTTAAATCCGTCACGTTAAATGGAACCCTCGACACCAGCACCACTGTTTCCTAAGTGAGGACACAGAACACCTAACACCTGACAGACAGCAAGAGTCCTCGTTAGTTGATGAGAAGGAGTCAAGTCCAGGAAGTTCACAGGAGATGTCGCAGGGTCTCCAAGTTATATTACACTCTATTCCCTGCATCTTCTGCTCAGACGTGGGGTGACATCTTGGCATCCTGATGGTACATTTAAACACCAGAGCTGCGTGCAGTGGTCCCACGGCGTGTTTTGATTTCATAGTAATGAAAAAGATGTTTGCGGCACAAAGAGCCTGGTCTGTTTAAATCGAGGGTCTTAACGTCTGTCCGACTAGAACCTGGTACCCTTCCAGGGCACAGAAAATAAAAGGTGCAGATGCCACAGACACCAGCTCAGAGCAGGTGCAATGGGGGGGGGGGCGTGACCCCCGCCCCCAGTCTAAATGGGAAAAAGCAGCACAGCCAGGTTTCCATTTAAAGTGATTTTATAGTAAACCTGAATTTGTCAGTGTCCAATGTTAATTACCAAACCTGTCTCCTTACTGGAAGCCTTTCAACATAATTCTCGCACTGACCACAGACTGGTCACGTGACAGACCCTCTCTAGAAGAGACTCGAACTGCATCTGGTGTGCGGTTTCCCGCGCCCGCCCCACCCCCGCGAGCCCTGGCTGAGCTCCATCCCCCGTGCCCCGCGAAGGGGCCGCGGCCACCCCGTTACAGGTCTTCCCGTCGACTCCCGGCGCGGTTATTTTCCTTCGAAGCCCGAGACTTCGCGTCTCCCGTCTTCTTCTTGCCCTTCTCCTGCTTGGTTTTGTTTGTCTCCTGGCCGCCGCCTCCTTTGCCAGGGTACACCTGTCCCTCCAGAGTCACATCGGCACACCTGTCCTGACTGACCAAGAAGTCCTTGATCTCCCAGGCGTAGCCCCCATCGCGAAGCATGAAGATGGCGCGATTGGACCCCACGATGAACCTGGACGGGAGATGCAGTCAGAGTCAGTGCACAGCAGTGAAGGGCTGATGGGGCAGAGACTCTGTGGTGCTTCACCCAGGAAAACAATTCCTTTCAAATTCTGCATGAATACGGAACAAAAACTCCTTGGCAAAGCCCGGCAGCCTGACATCTCACGTCTGAGAGTCCTGGCTGACTGGACTATTTAACTGCTCAGCTCAGGTCAGTGTAGAAGCAGAACTGGCCTCGTGTGGGGAAGTGAGCGCCCACGTTAAGGGAGAGCACTAGTGACACCCCCAGGGCTGCTGCGGGGAGGGGCAAGGGGCAGGCTGCGTTCGAACCCGTTTCACATTCTGAAGTGCCCGGTTTAAGGTTTCTTCTGAGCAAAGGCTTCTGCTGACTAAGGCTGAAAACCGCTGCAGGAGGTGCAGGAAGGCCCGAGCGGTCACCTGCTACTGGACAGATGCCACAACCCCGGAGGGTAACAGCGAGCAGCCCAAGCGCATCCGCACTCAGCACTGGGCAGGTCCCAAGGGGCAAAAAGGAAAAGAATGGGGTCCGGGTGGACCACCCCTGCAGTGCCGCCCCCTGGGTCCGTGCTCGTCTTGGACTAGTCGTCACAGAAACATTCCTTTGTTCCCGAGCGTCTAGTTAAGCTAACGCGGCATTCTGCCAACCTCGACGCTTAAGTTTTCCTTCATTTTTTTTTTTTACTTTTATATCTCCTGAACTAGGACAGTTGAAGACCCTAAGTTTTAGGACTGTTATTGAGGAGGAAAAAGGAAATTTTTAAAATCACATCATAGGCTCATACTGAGCTGTGCAAACCAGACCCCTTCACCTTAAATGGTCTGGCCCACGCTTCATGGACCAGAAAAGCATTCTCCACTAAGCAGAATCTTCTAAAGGAACCACACTGTCAAAGTAACTCATTCAGCCTCCAAAAAGGCTGAGCTCGACAACTTTTTTACTTAGATAAAAGTTAAAGGTAAAAAGATAAATAAAACTTGACGATCAAGTGAGTTATTAAGAAACAACAACAACAACTTACTGGGTTTGACCAATAATGAGATCTAGAGCCTCAGAAAAAGTCCCAGCACAGCCCACGCTGTCCTCAGCAAGGTGGCTGGTGCTTACCTCTGGACGTCGTAGTTGGCATTGAAAAGACTGCCCTGCCAGAGGCTGGTGATTTCCTCCGTCTCCTTCTCTGTGGGGCTTCCCGACACGGTGACAAACATCATGAGAGTCTTCCCTTTCTTCGTCATTTTCAGTATGCTCTCAGGCTTGCCCGGGTCCACCTGCGAGAAGTCGATAGGCGCCGAGGGCCTTTTGTGCTCCGGGAGATCGCCTTCCTCTATGTCGTCATCTTTCTGTCAGGAGAGGAAAAGTGTCAGTCATCAGAAAGCTGCTTTCAAGTGGCAGAGGCAAGAACGTGCGCATGTGACGTCAGGTGCAGGTTTAGGACCCACGTGGTAACAGAAAGGCACAGCCAATTTCCAACTCTATCTGACTTTCAAGCCAAGCCTAGAGTTTCAGGCCATACTTACTTCCTGTCACTCCAGGTCGTCAATCACAGAGAGCCCCCGTGTGATGGGTTTCTAGAGCTCTGTCACTCGCAAAGACTCTACCCACTATGGTAGACAGAAGAAATGGCCACATTCTGGCTCGGTCACATAAGGAAACACTGCACAGCAATGAAGAAGACACATGTAACAAATACTGACACATTAACAAACCTCAAAAATATTATATTGAGTGACAGAAGTGCTAGCAGGGTAGTGGGTGGATTTAGTGATCACCCGGGGAGAAAGTACTGTTTCCTACAAGAAAGCACCCACCCTGTCGCAAATCGCTCCCACTGAGGAAGGGCGCTGGCATTTGTAGACTGTCTGCAAACATCAGCTCATTGAGTCCGCATGGCAACCTGCATGGGGCGTTATCTGGCTTTACGGATAAGGAGGAGGAGGCCCACAGTGATCAAGGGGTAAAGCTGGGTTCAAAGCCTGTCCTTTCCCTGCATCTTGCCGTCCGTTTATGGTCACACAGTCAAGCAACTCCCACGTCCCGTTAGAAGCACAGTTCTCACACGTCTCCCTTCCACCCCATTCCTGCACTTCTAGCTTAATCCAGGTCCTCCTCATTACCTTATTTTGCACTTCTGTTCACCCATGTGTATGGCGGTGTAGTAAAATGGTTAAAAAAGAAAAAGGGCTTTAAAGTGAAATGACTGAATTTGAAAGTCAACTAACTTTCTGTGTGCCTTGGACATGTCACTTGACCTCTCTGTGCCTCAACGTGCTCATCTAGAAACAGGGATAAGCACCGCCCTCATTAGTGTGGTAAGAGGGTTAGTGAGAGACTGCTCAGAGCAGTCCTGATAGCTAATGAGAACACTCAGCACACATTAACTATCGCGTTATCTCTGCCTTCAGACCATCCCCCTGCCCATGCATCCTCTGCTTTGCCAACCAATTAATCTTCCTCAAGTTTAGCCCTAACCATGACATGCCACTATTCAAAAACCTTCAACAGCTGACACATCCACCCCAGGGCATATTCTGAAGCCTTCTCAAAGTATTCTGAAGACAATGCAGTAACCTAGGAGATACTTGACATATATACACTGAAAACAAACAGAAATTCCACTGATGCTATGCTTTCAGCTATAACGAACAGTGACTGCATACAGAAGGGACTCCAAAGAGCAAGTATATGTTTCAGGATGAAATTATGAATGATTAAATACAACACTTCACTGCTGTGACATTCGGATGACACAACTTTTCACACTCATCAAGGACTGCATATTTTATTCTGAAGTCCAAACCCCACAGCATTCAAGGCCTAGCATGACCTGGTTCTCACCATCCTATCTTCTTACTACTTTGCTGCAGACATGATCTGTTCCAGCCAACCTAACCCATTTGTATTAGCATAGCTAACGGTTAGAGCTGCACTGTTCTCGGTCCTTTCCATGTTTTCTCAGTTACCCTTCAGAACTATTTAGGTGGGTGCTATTAACACCTCTATTTTGCAGTCGAGGAAACTAACGTACAGAGAAGTTCTTTACCAGTCAAAATTCACCAGTTTCCGTCTAACTTCAGAGCCAAGGCTATTAGTATTTGCACCGTTCTGCCCAGTTCCCACATGTCCCACCCTCAGATCATGCCGCTGTTGCTAAGGCCCTTCTGGCACCTTCCCTTGCCTATCTAAAAAGGCCCTTTCCTCCCCGAAGTCTTGAAATTCCCACAGCATTTCCTTTCTTTATATAGCACTCAGCACTTCCTACTTTGTATCATGGGGATTTTGGGTTATCTGTTGTTCCTAACGGTTGGATCCCCTGTTCATGTCTGCAGCACCCTCTTTGTCTATCTCAGGACTATTTCCAGGGTAGGATTTCTTCCTGAGATGGTGTTCTCACTTTGGTAGATCAGAAACTTGACTTGCTAGAACCCAGAAGAGATTGAGATCGCAAGGGAGACGGAAAGTGGGGGGATCACACGTAGTTCCCTCTTCGTCAGTGGTCTCCACACATTCAAATCTACCCCCATCTTTCTGTCAGCTGCAGATACTCATGAAAACAAGTCTGCTTTCTTCTAGTCAAATGCATCAGATGGTATTTTACACTCAGATCTGAAAGCGGGGAGAGGGAGAGAGAGGGAGGGGGCGGAGGGTGGGGTGCACTGGAGGGAACCAAAGTAATGAAACGTCAGTGTTGGAAGAAATCATCCAGTAAAATCTCATTTTGCAGATAAGGACGCTGAGAACCTGAAGCCTAGAGTGGACACGTGACTTGCCCAAGGTTACACAAGTAGCACCTAAGTTTCCTCCTCCACTCCAGGAGCTGCATAGATTAACCAGAACAATACGACCACCTTTGGTAGGAAAACAGGCAGCGACGTGTTTTTGGCTAGTGAACTTCGTCTAAAAAGCTTATTACACACTCCTTGTAGTTACACACTCCAGTGCACTGAAGTAACAAACCGGAAAGCGTACTCGCCAAAAGTCGTTCCTCTTTTAAATGAAAAACGTGAGTTCCGTGAGAGCGCCACTAACCTTTGATTACTGCGCCGACCACCCACAAGATAAAGCCACCCACCAAATTACAAAACTCTCAGCAGGGAAATGTACCAGAGCGGGAAGTCGGAAAGACTTCTGATTTGGGAGACGGGAGAACTATTAGATCTGAGATGACCCTCTTGAAAAGTAATCTTCACCATACCCCTCACCAACCACTCATCCGGTTCTTTAGGAATGCAGCGGAAAAAGTCTCCCTCCCCATCTGCAGGGCTCACTGACCACGGGGAACAACGCAGGGGCGACCAGGCCACTGAAAGTGAAGTAGGGCTCACTAGTGAGAGGCTGACCCGTGACAGGAGAGCCCTAAAACGGTGGAAGGGGACACTGGAATGGAGGTCGGCGGCGGGGGTCAGTAGGGCTCGAGCGGGTCAGTAGGACTCATGGCAAGAGCAGAGAGGTTAGGGGGTCGGAAGGCACCGAGACAGAGGGGGTGAGAGGTCAGCGGGAGCGGGGCCAGGGCAGAGCAGAGCCGGAGGGTGTGCGCGCGCCGCGGACCTCCCACTGCTCCAGAAGACGCGCCATGTCCGCATCGTTGTAATCGCGAATATCCTTCTTCTTCTTCGGGGGAGGCGGGGCAGCCTGGCCGGGAGTCCCGGCCGGACTCTCGGCCGCGCGGGCTCGGGGCGGCAGCAG